CTTTATGCTGACTTCCATAAATATAGCATTACTTCAATTACTCCACCTAGCAGGAGATAGAAAGAATAACCATTTTACTTGGACAATAGCTTCTGTGTGCTGCCAGATTCTTGGTCTCTCCTCCCCTTCTCTAGCCTGCATCCATAAATACAATGTCTTTTTAAAATCCCTCTCAGGGCAGTTCAGGAGACCCTATCCATCTCCAGACATCGTGGCTGCACATCAGCCAAACATCTCATTAACACAAAGTGAAGCATTCTGGGAGGGTGGATGGAGAAGGCAGACAGCGATAAGAAAAAGGAGAGAGAAGAGAAAGACAGGAGCTGTGGAAAACACATGCTCACTTCCTTGGTGAAGATAACATGCTGTGGAAGTAAGAACTTCCTGTTTTAGAAAGAAAAAGCATGTGAGATATAAAACATCTGTGACTAAGTAGATTCCAGTCCCTACAACCTGGTTCCAGCTGCCTCAGACACTTCATACCTCCCTGAGCTCATCCCTGAACCAATGGATGTTACCATGGGAGCCAAGTCGATGAAGAAAAAAGCAGTAAGTCTAAGCATTTAAGAAAAATAAATGGTTCCAGGGGCCGGGGATTTAGCTGCTGCCTGCCTTGCAAGTGCAAGGACCTGAGTTTGATCCCTGCTACCAAAAAGAAAAATAAATGGTTCCAAAATTGAAAAAAAAATCTAGAGACATATATGCACATATGTAGACATGCACACACACACACACACTCACACACATGTCACTAGTTTACTAATTGAAAAATATTTTCTTCCAATTAACCTGAACACTTAACCTTTTACTTTGTTACCCTGAGTTAGCCAAGACATTAAAGCAAATGCCTTTAACACTGTGGGGTCACAGACCATTCAAGAATGATTGGACATGACAGTTCTCCACAAAAGGCCTGAAACACATCCATGTTCATCCCAGCATGACCTACATTAAGAATTTATAGATTAGACATTCATTTGAGTTAACAAGTATTTCCTTTTTCAAATCCAGGGGCTTTAGGCAATAGTCAGGGGCTCTCGGTAATTTTGTTAGTGGGAGATTAGTCCCACTCTGTTAGCTTTCCTCCTGAGTCTAGCTGACATCTGAGACTGTGCACAAATAATGGGGATTTTGTTGAGGAGCTGGAGGGTGAAGTGAGCAGATCCAGGCTGTTGAGCAGAGGTGGAGGGAAGACCCAGCTTGGGTCAGGACAGTGCGCAGGTACTGGACATGGAACGAGAGAGGAGACATGTTCTTGGGAAAGAAGATTCCAAGAATAAACTTCATTTCTTCTTAAATTTTCTCACTTAGTCCCAGTCAAAACTGCCTTTACTGCAGCGACCCTGCCCCCATCCCAGGCCCTGAGTGCCCCCATCCATAGTCTCCCTCTTCCCCTTTCTCTTATAGTAGTTTCCTCCCCTCGTTCCTGACCCCAGGCCCTGATCAGCATCTTTTGTTTTTTATTCATTGTTTATTGGCACATTTTAGGTATACGTTATGATCACATTTGTTATTGGGAATTTGTTCCTGTACATGATATATCTTGGTTTTTATTTTTTCCCATTTCCCTTCCCACCCTTCAACTCCTCCACCCCTCCCTGTTTACATAAGGTTTGTTTCCATTTCTGATCAGCATCTTGAGCCCCAGAAATGGCAGCTCTTCTTACACTCTAGGTCTCCCAGTTGTCCCTCCCCACCCCACATCCCCTGCTCACAGTCTTATCAGTCATCCTGCAAGTCCGGCTGTGAGTCCACTACTGCTTGTATTTTATTTTTCATCTTTCCATCTCACAAGCACTTTTTCTGGCTTTGAAACTCTCTCACCACAACCTTAGCCTGTTCAAAACCTCCAGTCGCATTTTATAACTTCAGTTTTGTGAAGCATTTTGAGTCCACAGATAATAGATTAGGGATAGCTATATCACCAATCACTTAAGTACTGCTCACTTTGGACCCAGTATTGTTCTGAGTACTCATGTTAATTTATGTAATCCTCCCAGCAATCCCAAGAAGTCCATACTTTTATAAAGCCCATTTTACAAGTGAGGAGATCAAAACAAAGAAGTGTAACTTAGCTTGCTTGAAATCACACAGTAGTTCATATGGAATTAGGAGACTTAAACCCAAGCAGGCTGGCTTCAAATCTGTGTTTTCAATCACTGTGTTATATTTTTTTCTTTGTATAACACTTTACACCCATTCCCCTCCCCAACACAAACTTCAAGTCCTTTGCATTCTGAAATGTGTCTATTTTTCTAGCCCCAGGGGCAGTCACACCTGGCATACTCCCTCAAGCCAGGGCAAATCTACCAGTTTGCCATTTGCCCATGATTGGTGATAATACGAATCACTGTGTCCCCTATTCCCGAGCATGGGCCTTTCGTCTCTTCTTCTTGTCTCAGTGAAGAGAAAAGTAAAATTCTTCTGCAAGATTAATTAGTCCACCACCCTTAATCTCAGTCTCAGACAGTCTCTGGACATGAACAAATTGCAGACAAACTTTCTGCCAAAGTATATCACTCATGGTCTGGAGTCCAACAGGGAATACAGTCCTGGAAATATTTCTACCAACATGCTGGTCTTTTGAACTTTTACCAGAATCTCCTATCAAGTACAATTTAAAGCATTCCAGGTTGCTTCTTCAGCCAGCATCTCCAAGCCTTTCCACACTCTTCCCACAAGCCAGTTCCAAAGGCTCAGAAACTACATGGTTAAGTCAATCAATGATGCTTCCAGTATCTAAAAATCTGTCTCAGTTGCTTTTTTCATTGCAGGCCCAACCCATCCTGAACTGGAACTTCCAAAACCACTGTGAGCCAAACTAAAACTTTTCTCTTAATTATCTCAAGTATTTTGTTTATAGTAACAGGAAGCTGACTGTACCCAACACCTAAAGTTAAAGGAGGAAAGGGGTTTTTGGGGGGCTCACAGATTGTCGTGGTTTCAGTACATATAGGCAGCTGGCTCCAAGGTGGGATGGCATGGCAGAGGGGCATCGCAGAGAAGAAATAATCCAAGGCAAAGGAGAGAGAGAGAAAAAAAGGGAGGCAGAAAGCAAAGCAGCGAAGTAACAGAGCAGCTTCTTTCTGTCCCTGTGCATTCCATCTAGGCTACCTGCCTTTGGGGTGGTGCTACCCATACCCAAGGTGGGGCACCCTTAATCCCAGCATCATACATGCTAATCCAGCCACCTTCGGAACTCCCCAGCTATGGCAGCAGGACTTTGGAGGGACATCTAGATATAAGCCGTCACATGTGTTAAATAGATTAGAGGATCTAAAAACCAAGCCAGATGTTGCGGTATGTGAGAGTGGTACCCAGAGTAGCAGAGTCAACCCTACTAGTATAAGCCCAAGACCTCATCTGTGCAGGGCCAAAAGAAAAGCAGCCATGAATTTGGTGAGTGACAAGAAATACTGAGCATGTTGACCCTCAATACTTCATCACTTCATCCAACCATGGTGGAAAAATGACTACTCGTAAAGTGTTGGTCAAGTCTTGATTCGTGAAATGTTTCTTGTTTCTAGTATCTTCTGGAAAATGTGCTAAATCATCAAAGATAGAGCTCTTGCCCTGAAAGTGAGTAGACCACAAAGAGTAGAAGTTTCCATGGAAGGGAAATCACATGGAAGACGGGGCTTGGCTGAGATAATGAAAGCCTGGATGAGGGAGGAAGGACAGCAAGATAAGCTTTGTTATATGAACCAGACTCTCTTGGTTGTAAGTGACAGAAACCTAGGTTGAATTGGAAAAGCAAGGGATCAGCCAAGCCTCAGGAGCAACTGGAACAAGAGATTTAAAAGCCACTGAGACAAGGCCATTGCATGGTGCTTCTTGCATCTGGAAAGCTCTTTTTTCCACCCGGGTTTATCTACTATCCATTATCCCTGTGACTTGAGTCACCTCCACAGGGATCCTCCCCTTCCCACTACTCATCTTCTTGACTGGGTCAAACCAAGAGTCTTGGCTATTCAAGACTTCAGGGCAAATTAGGAAAAGATGACCTGTTTGGAAGGATAATGTCAGTATACAAAGAACAGGGTATCCCTTGCTCTGGGCGAAAACAGCCTCACATCAGGGCATGGTGAGAAGAGTCTAAGAAGGATTTCAGCCCACTTGCATCTCTTACTTTGTGATCCTTTATGCAGTGCACAAATTGTTCAGTTGAACAGAGCAGCTGAGCCTCTGTTATCCTTTATTATACACTCTCTGAAAAACTGTATACCTTTTTTTCTCATTGCTTTTTAAATGGCAGCTTTATTTTACTTACATAATTTAAAGAAGGTCTGCCCTGCAAGCTCATGATCTTCACAAGGAAAGAAACTGGGACTGTGTTGGTTCAATGTGTTATTCCTAGAGCCAAGTGCAGTATTAGGCACATCAAAGAACCATGACAAACAATGGCTGCATCATGAATAAATGAATGAATGAGGAAGCAAATGAGTGGTTCTGTGTTTTGTTTTCGTTTTTTTGTACCAGGGATTGAATTCGGGACCTTGTGCTTGCGAGGCAGGCAGCAGAACCACTGAGCTAAATTCCCAGCCTTCAAATGAGTGGTTCTGTTATATATTTCTTTAGGGTTGGTTTTTCTGCAAGATGGGAGCCATAGTTGCTGGCAGATATGAGCCCACAAACAGAGGTTGCTTCTTTTTAACTCTAGTTTTTAAAAATCCTCTGCAAGAATGCTAATTGGCCTAGCTGAGACCACCTCTGCACTGGGAGTGGGGCTCTCTGGTTGGCAACTCCTACCACAGCATTGTTTGATAAATGGGGCATGGAGCAGTCCCCCAATTGAGGAAGAGGTCCTTCCCAGTGAAAGGTGAAGGACTAACTGCAAGCAACTCCTGGCGTTCTCTAGAGTACCGTCAACAGGCTATGAGCTGGTTACTTCTATGTCTTCGTTTCTTTACCTGTGGAATGAAGGGCTATGCTGAGCTCACCTCGGAGACGGTCCAGCCCAACATTCCATTTCCTTTTATTGTCGTTATGATTCTGCTGTCAAGTTCCATTCTAATGCTATAGGCAAGGAGCACAAAAACATGACTGTGGGCACCTTCGGTCTAGGAAGGCTTAATGGAGGTGAGCCTGGGTTGTATGGGGAGAGAGGCAGGAAGGGGAACGTGGAGGGCGGGGAGATATGGCTTGGAGAAGTGGGTTGGGAGATGGTTGATATTGAGCCCTTTGTTAGGAGTCTTTTTTTTCCCCTAATGTATAAGTCTTTGTAAGTCATTTCTATTTTCCTCTGAATTAGCTTATCCAGGAACAACAAGCAAGTCATCCACAGGGATCTGAGGGGATGAGATATTTGACAGGTAAGTTGTGATCCCAGTAAATTAGTCAAAATAGGTCCTGAATATAGACATCTCTAGGGCATGTGAATCAAGGCTAGATCACCTTGAGGTTTGTAGTCTGTGCTGGGGATGTGATTTGTTCTGCAGTAAGAGATCAGGGGAAGATACGGTCAGCTTCTTGTTACTATAAGCAAAATACCTGAGATAATTAAGAGCGAAGTTTTAGTTCGGCTCACAGTGGTTTTGGAAGTTCCAGTTCATGATGGGTTGGGCCGGTTGCCATGAGACTGTGCACATCATTGTAGGAGCACCTGGTGGGAGCAAAACCATTCACATCATGACACATGGAGTCAAGGGGAGAAAGGAAGAGACCAGAGTCCCACTGTCCACTTCAAGGACATGCCTTCCATGACCTAAACACCACCAACAGGCCCCATCTCCTGAAAGTTCTGTCACCTCCCAGTAGCACCCCTTGGAGACCATGGCTTTTAACACACATTCCAGATCCAGACTATAGCAAGGGAACATGGGCACACAGGGAAGGAAGAAGTATGTTCATTGGCCATGCTAAGAAGGCTCTTACACGTGCAGTTGGCCCTAAACCCTTCCCGGGGTTACTAAGGTACAGCAGTCTTGGCACTTGTCTGTGCCCTTTCCAATTCTTCAGGCTCCACCCTGTGGCTTTCCTCAAGAATGTTGTTCAAGCTCTTCTTCTTCTTCTTTAGCCTATTCATACATTTAGGGAACAGTGAGGTTTGCCTTGACTTGCTAAAATGGCCTAAAGAATGAGAACAGTCTTTTCAAGACAGCCTGGCACTAGGGACTACAGCAAGGAGCTCAGGGTACTTAGAACAAGGATCTGGGAAAGGGAGAAGGCTCCCAATGGGGCCATGGGAAGATGAGAGCAAGTGGTGCAGTTCTGACTTGTGCAAGGAAGCAATCCTTTAAATCACACTGTTGTAAAGGGTTAATTTCTAAGGAAAAGAGACTTCAGCTTATATTCTGCCTCAGCACACTGAGAGCCAGTGGCTTCATTTAAAATGAGGCACTTCACCCAGGGATCTAGCTCACCACAGCCATGTCTCCCTTCGGACAGCGTTGTGATTATCTATCCAGACCTCATCAGCCATGATAAGACGTTCTCCGACATTTACAAGATCTGGGAGATCACGGACAGACTGTGCCTGGAGGTGGAGGGCAAGATGGTCAGTAGAGCAGAGGATAACACTGATGACTCGCCCATTGGTGGAAATGCCTCCACAAAGGCACTGAAAGCACAGTAGTCACTGGTGTTGATACTGTCGTGAACCATCACTTACAGGAAACCAGCTTCACAAAAGAAGCCTACAAGAAGTACATCAAAGATTATGTGAAATCAATCAAAGGCAAACTAGAAGAACAAAAGCAAGTGTATGAGCCCTGGCTCCCACACTGAAAGAGGGGCCCCTGCAGCTAGCTTTGGGCTGTGTAAGAACAGATGCTCCTGTTTAGGAGTTACATCTTCACAGTGTGGTGCAAGGTACAAGGGGGTTAGAGACAATCACTTGCCTGAAGCAAAGTAGAGCCCCAGTGGCCAAGCAGAGAATTCAGGAGTACAGGGTCCAGCTTGGCAGAAAGTGTCTAGGGATGGTGGCAGCAATGGTGGTGTCCTAATGCAGGACTGTGGCAGGATCTCTATTCTGTCCTAAAGTGCTTGGGTCCTGCTTGAGCTGGGATTTTTAACCTTCTGCATTCTATGAGCTCTCCCACTGATTCCTCACCAAGACTCACTTTTGCTGCCTGTAACTCGGAATCCTGCCAAGTTCAGCAGAGAGTTCAAATTCAGGATCAACTGAATGCAGGAACTAGAATTCAGCAGACCTCTATCTTGTTTCTACCTTCATCCATTTTGACTTTTTTTTTTTTTTGGTTGCGGTGGTTTGGTTTTGTTTTGTTTTTAATTTGTCTGTTGTTTCATATGCTTTGGTGAGGATACATTATCCTTCAGTTTGGTTTTATTCCTTAAAGTGTGTGATCCCAGAACAGAACTCTGATCAGCAGGATTTAAATCATGTGCTTTTACCTGAGACTAGCAGGATGGGTGCGGATGGGATAGAAACTGGCCAAGTCTGAAATCATATGCTCTCATCTAAGGCCAGGGATATTAAATACTATCATTGGGAACCCCAAAAGAACAGCATAAAGTTAGTAAGAAAGGGGCAGTTTTCTAAGAAAACGTGAGAGCTTTTCCAGAAGAATATAGAGAAGAAATGGTAGGCAGGAAAATTGCTGGGTCATTGGAAACTCTATATTTAAAGTTTTGCAAAATTACCTACCTTTTTCCAAAGCAGCTTTGCCATTTTACATTCCACAAGTAATGTATGATTTCCAAATTTCCAACCCTTATTATTAGCACACTTTTAGATTATAGCCATCCAAATAGATGTGACATGGTATCTCACTATGGCTTGGAATTGTTATCCTAATAACTAAGATGTGCTGTATCTTTTCATGTGCTTAATAGATATTTGTATATCTTCTCTGTTGAAATGTTTGTTCAGATCTTTTGCCAGTTTTTAAATTGTTCTGTCTTTCTATTAATGAGGTATAACATGTCTTTACAAGAATTAAAGATGTAAGATGGGATTGTAAACACCGGAGTGAGCGAGGTCTTGCTACCCTGAGGCTGCTGCAGTGCGGAGACCTGGGGGAAGCCGCCATCACCATGTCTGATCAGGAGGCAAAAGCTTCAACGGAGGACTTGGGGCATAAGAAGGAAGGCGAATACATTAAGCTCAAAGTCATTGGACAGGATAGCAGTGAGATTCACTTCAAAGTGAAAATGACAACACATCTCAAAAAACTTAAAGAATCATACTGTCAAAGACAGGGAGTTCCAATGAATTCACTCAGGTTTCTCTTTGAAGGTCAGAGAATTGCTGATAATCATACTCCAAAAGAACTGGTAATGGAGGCAGAAGATGTGATTGAAGTTTATCAGGAACAAATGGGGTCATTCAATGGTTTAGGTATTCTTTTTTTTTTTTTTTCTTTTCCCTCAATCCTTTTTTATTTAAAAAAAATAGTTCTTTTGTAATGTGGTGTTCAAAATGGAAATGAAACTGGCACCCCATTTCTTTAAAACATCTGGTAATTTGAATACTAGTGCTCATTATTCATCATTGTTTTCATTGTGCTGATCTTTGGTGATCAAACCTCAGCCTCCTTCATACTGTCCTCTCCTTTTTAAAAATTATGTGAGTGCACAGAGAGGCCGAATTTTTCAGGACTGTGCATTTTCCTGTTTGTGGTAATAAGATCGACCAATGTGATTGCTCATATGACTTTCCAATTGGCCCTGAAGTTCAAGCTTGTGATTGCTTCACTCCTGGACTATGACTTGCAGTGGGAGATGGAAGTTTTTCAGAGAACCAAACTGTGGAAAATGACCTTTCCTTAACTTGAAGCTTAAATCTGAGGGTCTGGACCAAAAGAAGAGGAAGATCAGCTTTGGAGTCAAGATGACAGACATGTGAGAGTAGTGACTAATTCCAAGGATGGCTTCATTGAAGAGAAAGCAGTTTAAGATTTAAAAAAAAAATCTTGTCAGAAGATCCCAGAAAAGTTCTAATTTTCATTAGCAATTAATAAAGTTACACATGCAGACGTGTATACAGCAGAAAACTGCTCCTTTGGATTTTGTTTGTACTTCTTGGCCTGGGATATGGGTTTTAAATGGACATTGTGTATACCAGCTTCATTAAAATAAACAATATTTGTAAAAACTTTAAAAAAAAAAAGAATTAAACTATGTGGTGCATGACCTTAGGAGTCTGTATTTCTCTCAAGCTTCACTACCATATGATTTCAGGTGAAGACATTTGAGACATTAGCTGTGCTCTTACTTTTCCTTTAATAATTAATTTACTAATTCATTCCATCAAACATTCATTGAGTGCCTACACAGGCATTGTGCTAGATACTACAACAAAAAAAGAAATGGAAACCTCTAGTTTGCAAGAACAGACAAAATACATCAAATCATAATATGCAAAATAAGCTACCTAAACTTAAATTATTTTAAAAGCAGTTTGTTTAAACCTGTATACTCTAAGACTATAGTAACAGTACTTCTACATAGACTTCTGTGTTCCAAAGACCAGGGACAATACCAGCAAGTTGCCAGATTTACAAATTCTGTCAATCCCTGCCTAACAGTACCCTGTGTCTACCTCCAGTGCTCCAGTAGTGTAAGTGCCCTTCCCTAACTCCTCCCCTGAAGGCCCTACTGAGACTCTTAAGGTCAAGTGTTTTCTTGCTCAGCAAGATTTCAGTAAATGCAGTTTGTATAGTCAATAGGATGTCTGTGAACTTCAACTGCAGGCACGAATATAAAATATTATTTTCTTCCATGATAATTTGTTTATCTCACTTATTATTACTTTGTATTCTGCTATATATGATGCTATCCTAGAATCTAAATTTATTGTTTTTGTGGCATTTTCCTCTTGAGGCACACTGATCAAGACACATTCCTTGGCTACTTGCTGTATACTTTGAGAAGAGAATATAGGAGAAGTTATTTTAAGAGTTAAGGTACTGAAGCAATAACTCCCAACCCCATAATCTTTTTTTTTTCAGATTTAATTGAGTTTATTGGTACATTTTAGGGATATAGTACAGTTACATTCATTGTTGGGATCTTGCCTCTACATGTCAGTAAATGCAGTTTGTATAGTCAATAGGATGTCTGTGAACTTCAACTGCAGGCACGAATATAAAATATTATTTTCTTCCATGATAATTTGTTTATCTCACTTATTATTACTTTGTATTCTGCTATATATGATGCTATCCTAGAATCTAAATTTATTGTTTTTGTGGCATTTTCCTCTTGAGGCACACTGATCAAGACACATTCCTTGGCTACTTGCTGTATACTTTGAGAAGAGAATATAGGAGAAGTTATTTTAAGAGTTAAGGTACTGAAGCAATAACTCCCAACCCCATAATCTTTTTTTTTTCAGATTTAATTGAGTTTATTGGTACATTTTAGGGATATAGTACAGTTACATTCATTGTTGGGATCTTGTACCTCTACATGACAAGTCTTGGTTCTCATTTTTTCCCCTTGTCCCTGCCCGCCCTTCACCCCCTCATCCCCTCCCCATCTACAACCACTTTATTTCCATCTTTTCATTATCTCACATTTTTTTCTTTTCCCTTTTTACCCTTCCCCTACCCGTCCCAACTTCCCTACACCTTTAGCTCCTTTCTTCCCATTTCTCAATGTCAGTAATCTTATTAAGATCTTCTGTATTATTGCAGATTATTCACACCAGAGAAACTATTCACCAACCCCATAATCTTAAGCAATTTGAAAAATCTCTCTTTGGATCCTGTGACAACAAAAACTGTGATTTTAAAATGTCTTCAAGGTGTCTCTTAACATGGATTTAGTCTCCTTCATCCTGCTCAGTATTTGAAGGTTTTGTTCAATAAGAAGCTGCCTGTCTTTTTTCAGCCATAAAATTGATTCTATTGTGTTTTCCCTTCCATTTTCCTCATTATTTGCTTTTTTTTTTTGTTTTGGTACTGGGGAATCGAACTCAGGCTCTTGTGCTTGTGAGGCAGGTAGCGGAACCACTGAGCCAAATCCCTGGCCCCTCATTATTTACTTTTACATGAATGCATAAACTTCTAGACCTATCCATCATGTCTCAGCTTTTGCCCTTCATTGGTTTTAGGTTTTTCCATTGAGTTCTGTGCAAACCAATTGGTTTGAACTTCCAGATCCATGGCACAATCTCTAGCTGTGTGGTGTGTAGGAACTCAAGTTTGAGAGTTTTTTTCCCCTGTTTTTATGAATATAATATCTTCTCAAATTTCCCTGAATCAGGTTCTGCTATGGGGAATTGTTAGGCACTGAATGTTTATACCTTCCCAATTCGTATGTTGAAACTCTAGCCCTGATGTGATTGCATTACAAGGCAGGGTCTTTGATAGATCACCCCCCCATGGATGGAATTAGCACCCTTATAACTTGGCTCACAGTATCAGTGGGTTCAGTGGATGTTTGGCTGACTCCAGGGCAGGAACACCATGGCAGAAGGGTGCGGTGGAGCAAAGCTGCTTACCTCATAGTGGGCAGAAGCAGATCAGGGGAACAGCACCAGAGAGGAAAGGACTGGGAACCAAACATAGTACAGAAAATCACTCCTCCATGAGGCACCCAGAAGCACCTACAAGTATACCCTATGCATCGCCTAGGCAGCTCTCAAGCCTATCAAGTTGACAGCCAGCCTGACTGTCACTGATTCCCTTCCCTACCCATGGCTTAAGAGGAAGTCTGATGCCATGTTTGCACCAGCCCACCATTTTTCCCTCAACATAAGCCATCTTCCCATACCCTTAGTGGGTTGGTCCGTGTACTGTTTCTCCTTAGGCTGCAGCATACGTCTGAATAAAGCCTCCTACAGGTGTCATAGTTTTTCCTGTTTGTGATTTCTGTTTTGAGTAAAGCGTGCTCAGCTAGTACTCAAATAGCTCTTAACACTGAAGGTGGCTGCTACCAAAATTGCCCAACAGCTGGTGCTGCTAACGCTGAGTGAGGTTAGCAGCCAATGCTGGAAAGCGATGGAGTTGCTTGGAGCTTCCCTCTCTGGTCTCCAACAGACATCTCAAAGGCTGCCAGTAGCTGCTGGCTCTATCTTCCAGGAGAGTATTTGAAGGCTGCTAACAGTAATAGTTGATAGCCACTGGCATCCAAAACTCAGGACTGCTAACCCTAAGAAGAGCCATAGTTTCCTTATTTATCATTTCTATCCAAATTGAACAAAAGAACCATCAGCCAACTGCTTTGGTGTGTCCAGGAGCTAGGGTAAAGCATATACAGCCTAAGTCAGAACTATAAATGCCTGTTCTATCACTATAACCAGTAATGTGGCTTTACTAGATGTTCCTCACAACAATGTGACATTGAACTGCTACAACCGGTGGCATTACACATTACTACTATTTCTTGCAGCTTGGAATTTTAGTGGAAAATTACATGCAACTCTTGGAAAGGGAAAAATATATTTTAAACAACCCTGTTCATTGCTCTTTCCATCTGCCTTTATTGCCAAGGCTTCATAATGTGTAGGTTATGGTAAGAGACTTTTTGGCTTCTATTCATATAACACACTGATGTGTTTGGGGGCTAAATGCTGGAGAACTTAAACTGCTGATGCTGTAGGCTCTTCAGCTAGCCAGACAAGGAAGAATGGAGCACCTGTTTTGTGCTTCAGGTTCCCACCTGCTTTGGGTGAGCCTGAGCTCACTCAACTCTCAGACCAGCCTGTGAACTAGAGGCATCTCTCATCATTCTCATTCTGCAAAGTGGTTAAGTAACTCACTTGTGCTCACCTAGGAAGTAAAAGAGGCTAAATGATCTCCCTATCCCAGGGTTAACTAGCAAAATGAGGAAAAGGGGGAGAGGAGCATCTGTGCTTCCTGAACTAGCAAGTTTCCACTACAGCATCATCTTCAGACATTTTTGTTTGAGCATTTTAAAATTCAAATTTTCTAAGCATGTCTCTTGTGTGTGTGCTTACAGTGTACATTAGGAGTTTGTTCTTCAAACTTTAGTGAGTATCAAAATCACATAGAGAGCTTGTTAAAGGACAATCAGTAACCCCAAATATACAGCTTCCGATGTGAAATAGGTTTGAGAGGGGACCGGTGAATTTGCATTTCTAACAGGTCCCCAGTTGATGTTAACTCTGCCTATAAGAGATCTCCTTTGAATAGCATTACTATAAACCTAACCCAAAAATAGAAATTCAAAATACAGTGGAAAAACAATAATAATTCTAATGATTTTTCCCTGCGTCTCAGAAGGCTGTCTGGTGAAGACACAGAAATAAGAGACCATTTTGGAAGCCATTGCACTAATCTGAGGCACACTGGATTTCCTGGCCAGGGAAGCAACCCAAACCTCCAGCACTGCCAATAAAGGAGCTAAGAGAGGGAAACATCAGATGGGCACCGCTCACATACCCAATGATAGCCCCCTGTAGAGCTCAGGCGCTCTATGCTCATTTTCAGTTAACTCCACTCCTATAATCTTTCTCTGCCTTCATTTTTTTCCCTTTATGATAACAGCTACCATCGCTTTTAAGTAATGAAATCTAGCTCTCCTGTTGTTCCTTTTACGGAAATTCTAGCCACTGCAACTACACGGTCTACTTGATATCCACAAAGTAAAAACGTTCCAAGGGAATGATGCTTTGATTGAACTTTAATTTTGTTGTAACTTTGAAGTCCTGGCTCTGTGTAAGTGATGTGCCATTCAGCCTCACAGTCAGAAGACACAGGAGGGCGTTTTCTCCTAGCTCACACATGTAGAATTTCAAGGTATTCTTCAGTGCATTTGCCATTTGGTGAAAAATGAGGCAGCTTTCCATGTAGTAAATAAAACAAATCCCAGCACTGTGAAAGAGAAAGACAAGGTATTTGCAAAGACTTGGAGCACAAATTTAAATCTAAAGGATCCTCTGGCAGTAGGCTCCCCTGTCAAAAAGCAAAGTAAAGGGCTAACATTCACCATTGCTTTAGTGGGGGGAAAAAGAAGTTTCTTTTGATATTTTGAGATAAAGGAAGGTGAAAACATAGCTTATTACTAAAGACAAAATGCCTCTGCCGGAGATAACTCCAGGATTTCCTACAACCAACCAAATTCAAGCAGTAGAGAAGATGTCATGCTTTGGGAAGTACTTTTTAAAAGGTCATTTGTAACATACAGGAAAATCACGGTGAAACATGTTCTTGCTTTTGTTGGACAAAGTCTCAATTTAAAAAGCAGATTCCACAGGACTGATTGGTATAGATCAATAGAATGATTC